TTGGGATCTAGAAAAAAAGAAATCTCATCCCATGGGTAAGTCCCAAAGAAAGGTGAGAATCCTGATGTGAAGAGAGAGGGGGCAGTAGCTAGGGCCTGGAGGATTTGTATTGGGGAAGGAACTGGGCTTTCAGGGAAGGCAGGGTCCATAGGGGCAGTACCTAGGGGGCACATCAGGGGTGCTCACTCACTCATCATCTTCTTCTGGGATGCGGGTAAGGTGGAGTCTGGTAGGCCTGATCAGGTGGCTGGGATACTTAGGAGACTCCAGCTCACGCGATGGTGGTATTCCGAGGACAAGTTTTAATCTGGAAAGGTGGAACCATGGGGTATGCCCGCTAGGTTAGTTGCAGCTGGAGTAGTTAGGAGTACCTGGTAAGGGCCTTGCCACCAGGGCTATACATTGTTGAGTGGATGGGTTTCCTTTAGGAGGACCCAGTCCCCTGGCTGTAGAGGAGTAGGGGGGAGTGTCTCCCATAAAAGGTTTAGGAGCACTTGATCAGCATGTTCTCTCCGTAATTGTTGGATGAGGTTTAAAATGGGGACATAGTCTCCTAGAGGGCTCTCTGTGGAAGGGAAGTTTTCTAATAAGAAGGGTCTTCCATACATGAGTTCAAAGGGACTAAGAAAGGAGGCTGTGTGGGCTTGCTCTGATGCACATAAGGGCTAGAGGTAGGTTCTTTAGTTTTGAGAGTTAATTGAGCTAGGTGAGAATTAAGGAATTCGCCTTTTTACTCTAGCTTATAAAAAGCAGTCTGTATCCTTGCCTGAAGACTGGGGTCAGTAGGCTTGTGTAGGAGACTGTTGAGTTATTTGAGACATAAAAGCAGGTCCATTATCTGATTGTAATGAGGTGGGTAGGCTGAATCTGGGAATGATATGCTGAATGAGAGCTGTGTGACCTCGGAGGACTTTTCAGACCCAGTGGGGAATGCTTCTACCCAGCCTCAGAAAGTATGTACTTTGGTTAAGAGATATTTGGTTCTTTTAATAGGAGGCATGTGAGTGAAGTCAGTTTGCCAGTCTTGTGCAGGGATTTGGCTCCTTGCCTGATGAGTGGGGAAAGAAGGAGATCTAACCTATCCCTGGGGAGATGCTGAGTAACCAGTAGAACAGGTTTGGGTGATATCTTGCAGTAGGGAGGCTAGGCTAGGACATGTGATAAGGGGTTTTAGGAGTTGTAGAAGTGATCTATATCCTATATGTAGGTAATTGTGACTAGCCCATAAGATATCATGGACCTATCCCTGGGAAGGATATATTTTCTCTGAAATTTTAACCATAGATCTTCCTGAGTGGCCCCAAGAGCTAAAAGGGACTGAAGTATTAGGGTGTTATATGAAGTAGAGCTAAGAGTTGGGAAGACAGAGACTTCCTCTGAGCCACTGCCTTGGCCTTCTGGTCTGCTTTGTTATTTCTCTGTATTACGGGATCATTCCTGACTCGGTATCCTTTGCAGTGTATGACTTTTAAGAAGGCTAGAGAAGGGGAGAGAGGTTCCTAAATGCCAAGCAGGAAGACCTGTTGAGGCTTTCAGTGATAGTGTCAAGGACTGTGAATGAGCGGTGGAAATAAAGAAAGTCTAGGCTTTAATCTAAGGATGCAAGCAACAGGAGAGAGCCTGGGCGGGGCTGCTTTAGCTTATCAGGAGAGAAGGGGTCCCTTCGGTCCTGACTCACTGGACAAACTGTTCTACAACTTTCACAAACCTTCTTACTCATTCAGAAACCTTAATTTCCAATGATAACCAAAGTAAACAACCAGCATTTCTTAAATTGTCATTTATGAACACACTTTAAACATACTCTTACTTTCAAGGAAATATACCTTCAACAAAGTATGAGACCTTCTGTAATAAAAGCTAAGAGCAGATGAATTTAAAACTTGTCTAGCAATTAATGTTCAATATTTTATGTTATTTTAAAATATTTAGATGTTTATCATTTAACCTAGAAATGCCCCAAAGCCTTTAAATTACCAAGGACTTTGGAAAATTATGTAGAGGCATAAGAGGCTGAAGAAAAGATGGGGGTGGGGGGTGGGGGGGGAGTGAGGGAGCAGACTTCTAGCTGCTTGGATTTAAAACTGTCACATTTTCCCTTAGAGGTAACATACTAAGGTTTGGGTGATAATGAGTTCAGCTTCTGATAGTAGCAGGACTGTTAAGTAAACTTTCGCAGTTTTGCAGTAAAGAAAGTTGTTATTTGGGAAGGGGGGTGTGGGAAGGCGCTGAGGTGAGCAAGTTTCAGAGCATTAAAGGGGTGAGAATGCTGGCCTTGGGACCTAAAGGCTCAGTAAGGGGTCTTTTGCCGCATCATAGAGGGACTTTGCAAGAAGACTAAAGTTGGGAACCAGAGGTGAAAGTATCCAGCAAGCCTGAGAAAGGAGAATATTTCTTGTCTAGAGGAGGGGACAGTCCTAAAGGAGATAAGGCATTTATGATCTAAGGCAAGCATGTCAAACTCGCAGCCCATGGACCGCATGCCTCATTTATTTGGCCTGCGTTGGCCTTTGAGTTTGACAGGCTTGGTCTAAGGCAGTGGTCGGCAAACTCATTAATTAGTCAACAGAGCCAAATATCACCAGTACAACGATTGAAATTTCTTTTGAGAGCCAAATTTTTTAGACTTAAACTATATAGGTAAGTACATTGTTATTAACTTAATTAAGGTACTCCTAAGGCTTAGGAAGAGCCACACTCAAGGGGCCAAAAAAGCCGCATGTGGCTCGCGAGCTGCAGTTTGCTGACCACTCTAAGGTAATGGTTCGACTTTGTGGGGTAAGAGTGAAACCAAGGTAGGTGACTGTGGTTCAGGACAACTGGGCTTTATGAGGGGATGCAAGGTAGTCCCGGTCAGGCACTGAGGTAGAATGAGAAAAGAGTGCATAAAGGGGGTGTCTAGTAAGATGCAGTATAGAGGTGTAGTGGCTAATGGCTATGAGACTAGTCCATAAACCCCCATAACAGAGACTGAGGAGGGGACAGGGTCCCAGCTAATTCGGGGAGGACAGAATAGTGACCCCAGTGTCAATTGAAAAGGAGACTGGCGTACCTGCCACCATAATCATTACCCGAGGCTCTGTTCTGGAGATGCAAGTCTGTGGGGCCTTGTCAGGACCTGGGCAGCTTCAGTCTTTGGTGGCCAGTCCTAGGTCTAGGAGCTCCAAACCAGTTCCAGAGGGTGGCCTTGCTGGACTGGCTGAGGTCTGACCTGGAGGGGCCAGACTACAGCCTGATTTCCAGTGGCCTTCCCTTCCGCACCTTGGACAGGGCCCAGGCGGGGGTCTCAGGTTTGGGCAGGATTTGGTCCAGTGCCCTTCCTCATTGCATTTGAAGCATGGGCCCAGAGGAGGCTTAGCCCTGCCTTATCCTTGGTTGGAGGACCAGCACTTCATTTGGGGTTCGTGAGAGTGGTGGCTAGGAGCTGAAAGGCCTCCTTCTGGGCCTCAGCCTTGGCCTGATCTTGCCTTTGTTTTTGGATTTGGGTCTCCTTGTCTCTATTATTAAAGACCTTAAAGGCCAGGTTAATGAGGTCTTTTTGAGGGGTTCGTGGACCTAGGTCTATTTTTCAAAGTTTACAATGTATGTTGAGGGCTGATTGGGATATAAAATGGGAGTTGAGAAGAAGGGTTCCCTCTGGGGAGGTGGAGTCTAAGGTGGTCAGTTTCTGTAAGGCCTCCATGAGGCAGGAGAGGCAGAGAGCTGGGTTTTCGTCAGAGGCCTGAGTGATTTTAAGTTTGCCATGGTTGACTGCCTTATGGGCAACCTTTTTGAGTCCAGGAATGAGACAGGTGATCATATGGGTACGGAGTCGGTGCCCTGGACAAGTAACCTGGTAGTTCCACCTGGGGTCAGTTTGGGGGACTGAGGTAGCACCAGCTGGGTTGACCACTGCGTCCTGTTTATGAAGGGCATTGGCATGGTCCTCAACTACTAGCCAAATGTGCTTCTTCTCCTCTGGGGTGAGAGAGGAGGATGGGATGACCAAGATGTGCCAGGTCAGGTCATAGGACTGGGTCAGGTACTCAGTTCCTTAGTAAAGGCGGTTGGGTTGGTGCAAAAAGACCCAAGACGCCTCTCAATCTGTGTGAGGATGGACATGGGAAATGGGATGTGTACCCAGACAATACCCCCCTGGCCCCGGCCACCTCTCGGAGGGGAAGGACGGGGGCTGGAGGCTGGGCTGTTCAGGAACCAGTAAGAGGGGGGCCTGGTAAGGAGGTTGAGGGGATGGACAAAGAGGTGGAGTCTGAAGACAGGGGGGCAGTCAGAGGAGCGACATAAGGAGGTGGGTTCGGGAGAGCTGGAGGGGAATGGAGAACCAAGTGATCAGAAGGGTCGAAGGGAGGGTCTGAAGGACCTCATGGGTTGGGGAAGGGTGGATCAGAAGCCTCAGGGGTACAGGTCTGGTGTTGGCAGAGGGGGCTTTGAGTGGAGAAGTAGGATTTGATAAGTAGAGCAAGTTTGACAGAGAGAAGGATGATTACAGAGTGTAAAGAAGGCCTGGATGTAGGGGATCTCTGACCACTTCCCATTGTGCTGACAGAAATTGTCTTAAATCCTGGAGAATGTTAAAATCAAAATCTCGGGGGAATGTGAATAATTTACACTGTGGCCAGGCAGTAATAAAAGATAAGGCACTGCGGCTAGGAAGGTCAAGTGAGTTAAGATTCTGGAGGAGACAGCCGAGAGGGGTGTTTTTTGGGGACAGAAAAAGAACCCCCCATGGTGTAAATTAGGAAGAGGAGGGAAGCAAGAAGGGAGACCCAGGAAGCTAGACTAGAGGGAGGGCATCCCCACTGTCTAGTCAGGCTCCAGAGGGAGGAAGACAGTCTGATCCACATGGTAGGCCCCCCAGCAACGCAATGAGGAAGACTGTGGGACCTGGTCCTGGGGCCGAGGCTGGACTGGAGAGGATTTCTGGCCTAATGTCACGTCTTTTGTCTGAGACAGAAAATGGCAAATCAGAAATCCAGAGGGGTGATCCAATTGTTACTTACCAGAGATGAAACGAGCCGGTATTGAGTGGGGCACCAGCAATGGGGAAGGAGAGGTCCTGGATCCGGTGTCCTCCTTGGCCATAAGGGAGGGAGGCCAGCGATTGCTCCCCTTCCCCGTGGAACCCTCCTGGGTTTTCACACCAATGTTAGGGTCCCCAAAGGAGGTACGCATGAGGCTGAAAGTGTAAGATCATAAATGTATTAGGTCATCTGGAAACTCAGATGTTTTCAGCCCCAAAATGGCGCCAGTACCCAGGGACGGGGAGACAGAGTTTTAAAAGGCTCTAGGTGGGCTTTTCCTGGCAGAGAATTCTCTGGGCGGGTCTGTTCCTGGGAAGGTCCGGAGGGGAAGGTTAACGGTCTTAGCAAGTGGAATGTGGACTAAGCGAAGGGGAATGTTGGTTGTGAAGTGGCCTAAAGGTCAGTTTCCAGGAGAGGGGGTATGGATTCAATCATTTGATCAGACCTAACCGATAGACACTGTGTTCATGGGTCAGAAGGCTCAATATTGTTGAGGTGTAAATCTTTACCAACTTGATCTATAGAATCCATGTGATTCTAATGAACATCTCAGAAGAGTTTTTGTAGAAACTGACAACCTGATCCTAAAACTCCTATGGAATTGCGAAGGACTTAGAATGATCAAAACAATGTTGCAAAAGAACCTATGATAACGTTACAATCATCAGGACGGTGGAGTAAAGACATGCACAAATGTCACTGGATCTTCAGAATCGAGAGTCCAAAATAGACCCACTTATGTATGGACAACTGATTCCTGGCAAAGGTGCTAAGCAAGGCAACAGAGAAATGATAGTCTTTTCAACAAATGTGAAGGGAACGCTTGGGATGTCCATAGGCAAAAAAGTGAACTTCAATCCACACCTTATGTCATATATAAAAATAAACTAAAAGATGGGTCATCATAGAGTAAAATATCTATAGGTTCTAGAAGAAAATGTCTGTGACCTTGGGCTAGGCAAAGATTTCTTAGATATAATACCAAAAGCATACGCCATAACACACACACACACACACACACACACACAACCCCTGATATACTGGACTCCTTTCCACTTGTTAGAAAATTGAAAGGTAGGCTATAAACTGGGAGAAACATTTGTAAGTCATACATACAATAAGGGGCTTGTGTCCATTATATATGAAGAACTCCCCAAACTCAATCAGAAATCAAACAACCCAATTTAAAAATGGACAAAATAAAAAAGGGATTAAGAAGTACAAATTACGAGTTATAAAAATAGTCACAGGAATGTAAAATACAACATAAAGAATATAGTCGATAATGTTATAATAACTATGTGTGGTGTCAGATTACTAGATTTACTGGGGGATCACGCTGTAAGGTATGTAAATCTGATCACTATGTAAGGTATATAAGGTATATAAGTCTGATCACTATGCTGTACCAGTATACCTGAAACTAATATGATCTTGTATGTCAACTATAATTGAAAAATAAATTTAAAAAATAATTTCACACTGGGCAAAATATTTAAACTGACATATCACCAAAGAAGACATCTGAATGACAAACAAGTGTATGCAAAGATGCTCATCATTATTAGCCATTAGGGCAGTGATGGCGAACCTTTTGAGCTCGGCGTGTCAGCATTTTGAAAAACCCTAACTTAACTCTGGTGCCGTGTCACATATAGAAATTTTTTGATATTTGAAACCATAGTAAAACAAAGACTTATATTTTTGATATTTATTTTATATATTTAAATGCCATTTAACAAAGAAAAATCAACCAAAACAATGAGTTCACGTGTCACCTCTGACACGCGTGTCATAGGTTCGCCATCACTGCATTAGGGAGATGCAAATTAAATCACAGAGATATCATTATGCACCTATTAGCATGAGTGCAACGGAAAGACTGACCATAGTAAGCAAGCATGAAAATGTGGAGGGACTGGAACCCTCACACACTGCTAATGGGTGTTCAGGAACAATGGGGCTGTCCTTAACCAAATCTTTCCAAACCTCATTCAAGGAATCGCTGTGTTAATTTCTTCCCTGCCCAGTTTCCTCTTCACAGGGCCATTGCCCACCAGCTTTCCAGTGTCACACAGGCCACCTCCAGCAATCTGGAGTCGGTCTAGCTTAGAACCATCTTTCCTGCGTTTTCTTGGAGGCCTAGGACTATGGAGTTAGCCTGCCTGGTGTGTTCAAGACGGCCAGCCCTTTCAGGTTTGCTTGTTTGCTGGTTTGAGGGGTCTAGTTCGTGCCCAGCTAAACAAAAGAGAAAGATGGAATGAACTCAGCTCATTTGGACAGGGTTTTGAGGACTGAGCACTGCCCGGGTGTCTGCTGCAGAGCGCTTTTCTGCTTGTGTTTCTGTTCCTGGCAGAGGAGGGCTGGGCAGGAAGGACCTGCGCTCAGCTGATAAAGCCAGGCCCTTGTGCCAGGAACCCTGCGGTTTTTCTGTCTTTGGAAGTTCTCCCCTGGGCCTCAGAGGAGAGGACTCCCTCGAGGAGGAGGTGTTTCCCCAAAGTATCTAACGGGGCCAACCCAGGGGAGCAGTTCCCACTGGGATGTGAAACCCCCGCAGGTGGGCGCGCAGTCGGTCCCTGCCTGGCGCTCAGGTGGGCACGCGGTTCTGTCTGAGCCGGCTTGCGGGTGGGCACACCTACTGGTAACCATCCCCGCACCCCAACCGGGACTTGGGGGAACTCAGGCTGCCACCTCTTCTCTGCTGCTTTTTACTTCTCCTAAAATAATCCTGAGGAGTTTCAGTCCCTCTGAAATGACCAGCAAGAATTCTCGAGCGCTAAAACCAGTCAACGCGGGATTTTTATTAGTGTTATTTGAACCCGCAGTTGGTGCTGTCAGCCTGGAAGCCGGGGCAGGTGTGAATCTGCCCACTGAGATTCGGGCGGTGGCCTGGGCACTCCTACCTCCCCCAGCGCAAGTGACTCTGCGGGACATGACGCAACCCCAACCCAAGGTGGCTGCACAGATGCACCGCCAAGCTGTGTGCTGAGAAGTTCATAGATGCTCACAAGGGCTGCTTGCTGAACTTTGTCCAATTTCACTTTTAAAAAACTCTCAACAGGTTCAGATGCCCTTTAGGGGGAACAGGGATTTACCAAAGGTTTATAAGTGGAGCAATCCACTAATAAAAATAAAAATCATCACATGGTCTCACTGGGTAGCAGGATATTTTGTTTTCCTTTGGCAGTGATCCATGACCGACTTGTTAATTAAACTGTACCCCACGAAATAGGTCACTATGAATATCTCCCTGAGTAGTTGCTGGCCCTCATACACCTCCCCTGGGGCCCGACCTCTTCATCTGTCAAGTGGGGCCAGGGTGCTGGTCTTACCTTCCTAATAGTCTCCTCGTGAGGATCCAGGTCAGGGAGGATGCTGCCGAGGATGGACGTCAGCCAAGTCCCGCCCCTCCTGCTCCTCACTTTGCCCATCTATGAAATAAAGGAAAAGGTGCACTTTATTAGTGATGCTTCTGCTATTTTACGTTAAAAACGCTGGAGTCCTCATTATAAAATATTGACACTTGCTAATTCTGGAACATGGGTATGAGGATTTTGTGATATTATTTTCTGTATTCTTCTGTAGTCTTCAAAGTCTCTTGTCCCAATGAAAGAAAAGAAGAAGAAAGAAAAAATTTTAAGCCCTAGCCGGCTCAGTGGATAGAACGTTGGCCTGCGGACTGAAGGGTCCCGGTTCAATTCCGGTCAAGGGCATGTACCTGGGTTGCAGGTTCCTCCCTGGCTCGGGCCCTGGTCAGGGCACGTGCAGGTGGCAACCAATCGCGGTGTTTCTCGCACATTGATATTTCTCCCTGTCTTTCCTTCTCTCTGAAAATCAATGGAAAATATCATTGGGTGAGGACTTAAAAAAGAAAAAGAAAAAATGCTAAGATTCCTATGAAATCTGGTCTCCTCTAGTTGGACTTTCTCTGATTCTGTGGACAGGAACATTTTCAGAAAACCCTAGTGCTCTAGGATCCAGGGGCATTACTGTCGTTCATTGTGGTTGCTCCACCCCACCCCCACCCCCCGCTGTCTACCCCGCCCCCACCCCCAGCTGTCCAGGCAGCTGCTTCTCAACCAGCCTGCTGACTTGCTGGTGGGATAGGAGTTTTCTAGTTGAAGGCAGGTGAGTCAGGCTGATGTCCTTTATAGTATACAGTTCTGATTCCATTTCATCCTCCCCCCAACAGTCCCCACCTGTACCAAACAGAAACATACACCTGTACAAAGAGAAACCCCTATCTGGAGTCATTAGAAACTTGCTTTGTGTAACAAAATCCCAAACTTTCTTGGGCTTAACCAAACCACATTGCTAGAGAAAGCGCACATCAACGTTTCCACTCCTCTGACTTAAAAACAGCCGAACTAAATTAAGTAACAACAACAACAAAAAGTTGTTCCACACACAGTGTGCTGTGCTCTTCGCGCCACTTTCAGCCTGAAACAATTTCATGCTTGAGTTATTAGCTTATGAAAATAGGCACAAAGGGGGAAAATGTGCACAGATCCCGGCTGTATTATTAGTCAGAGCTACAGCTGAGTGCGTGCCGCACAAAGGCGTGCTATTCTGCCCCGGTATCTCGGTTTTGAACAAAATGCCGCTCACTAATGGGTTATGCCTCATATAGCTTTTTGTAATCATTAGGTTGCCAGTCTCTGTAATGTATCCTGGTTTTCATTAGGAGTGTGTTCTTCAGGTGGCAGGCACTCAAGTGTGCTCACACAAACACACAGGCAACACACACATAGGCACACACATCTTTGAAGTCCCCTTTTGTTGGTGGCTGAAAAGGAAGATCATGGAGCTGTGAGTCATGTTAGGAAAACCCCACAGTATTGATAAAGATACTATCTGGAAGTCAGAGTGGCGGTGGACTTGAATGCAGAGTGAAGATGCTGCATTGGGGGCGGTGACCCGAGTGAATGAAGGGCCTAGGTGCAAGCTGAAGGTGGGGACAGAGCGGGAGGGTCTGACCCTCACCTGTCTCCTCATTCAGGAGGCAGCGCTGGGCTAAACTCCCCGGGGCAGAGGCATGGGCTCACTTGCTGAGTGCTCTCAGATCTTAGGATAACGACAAGACTCCAGCAACCCCCCACCCCTACCCCCACCCAGTTTGGGAGGTTTCTGGCCTGAGCTCAGAGGGGTTGCCCCAAACCAGTGGCCACAAGGGAGGTAAGAAATAAAGGAGCCAAGTCTGGGCCTGCTGGGTTTTGCTTCTGCAAAGTCCAGACTCAGTTCTAGAAATCAAGGCCTTTGAGTGTTAACTTCTAAAAAAAAAAAAAGGGGGCAGGGGAAGGCAAGATAATAATCAGGTGAAAGGATCAGGGAGGGACCTGAAAAGCTTGGGGAAGATGATGGTTTTCTAACCAAGAGTGAATCACTACAGGGCCAGCGGGATCGGGATGGGACACTGGCCCCCAGAGCCATAGCCTCCCCTCAGTTCTCTGCAGCTGGGGAAGCCTGGGCCTTGGCCCCTGGATTAGGGTAATGGGATTCGCCCCAGACGCTGCCGACCAGGAGGGCAGTAATTGGGAACCAAATGTGCTCTTTGAACCTCTTTGAAGTGTTAATGAATGCTTTGATTGTGTTCTTTCCTCCTCTTTAAGACAAAGTGGTGCACTTTGCCAGGGAGCTTCCCTGCTGGACGCCGCCTTGCAAAGACCATTCTTCAGGCTCTGCCTTCACTGGCTGGCCGGTGCCTCCCAGGGCTGGGGGCCCAGAGCCAGCACCCAGGGGCCAGCTCCCCTGGAAAACACAAAGGTGCTTGTGGTAGCGCTCAGCCCCAGTGTCCTGTTCCGTGCTAAGCGACAGAGGCATGTAAAGCTCCCGCTGCTGTATCCTGCAGAGGTCACCAGGCTGGACGTAATTCAGGAACAGAGTCCCCAGCAGATCTGCCCCAGTCTGCCTTCACCCTCCTTTTACTGGTGATACCCTGGGGCAAAGTGGTTCGCCTAGGCAAGTGGTCGGCAAACTGCGGCTCGCGAGCCACATGCGGCTCTTTGGCCTCTCGAGTGTGGCCATGAAGTTTCAATCGCACTGTACGTGCGCTCCCGCATGTGGTATTTTGTGGAAGAGCCACACTCAAGGGGATGCAGTTTTCCGACCACTGGCCTAGGCCCTCATGGTCAGGTGCTGTAGATTCTCCCAGCTGACATTGAACCCTGAGGCTCATCTGGCATAATACCCCCGCTCCTCCTTGCCCGGCTCCCAGTGCCAAGGCACCATCAGTGGGATGGAAACCTGCAGACTGGAGGGAGGTGGCTCAGAGGCCACTGAGGTGGAACCTGGTGCCATCCACAGGGAAACATAGGCCAGTGCCACAGCTCTGGACTCCAGAGGCCAAGATGTCCAGAGGGGACACTCCCAGAGGGGCTGTAGGCTGTGACAGAGACCCAGGTGGCCTGATAAACCCTGTTAGGTTCGAAGTGGGATGTGGAGAGAGGGGTGTGCGCCAGAACAGAAATTCAAACCTGGGAAGCAGCCCATCTTACCTCTCCCCCACCCCCCACATTAGCATCTCCACAAGCGTCTGGCCAGCTGTGCGTTCTCTCACTGAGTCTTTGCCATGAAATCCGTGTCCTCATGAGAACTCCTCCCACTTTTATTTTCACCATCTTCATCACTCCAAGTGTGCAGCTCAGGGGAGCTGAGCAGGTGAACATCGCTGTATAACAGATCCCAGAACTCCTCATCTTGCAAAACGGAAACTGTCCCCATTAAACATTAACTCCCCGTCTCACCTGCCCCCAGCCCCTGGCACCCACTATGCTACCTTCTGTTTCGATGAATGTAACCACTCTAGGCCCCTCGTGTAAGTGAACTATATAATTGTCTTTTTGTGCCTGTTTTATTTAGCATAATGTCCTCAAGATTCATCCATGTTGTCCCATGTACCAGAATTGCCTTCCTTTATATATATTGATTTCAGAGAGGAAGGAAGAGGGAGAGTCAGAAACATCAATGATGAGAGAGAACCATTGATCGACTGCTTCCTGAACACCCCACACTAGGGATCAAGCTCACAACCTGGGCATATGCCCTGATTGGGAATCAAACCTCGACCTCCTGGTTCATAGGTCAATGCTCAACCACTGAGCCATGCTGGCTGGGCTGCCTTCCTTTTTAAGGCTGAATAATATTCCATTGTATGTGCAGACCACATTTTGTTTATCCATTCAGTTGTGGGTGGACATTGGGTTGCTACCACCTTTTAGCTATTGTGAATAATGCTGCTATGAACAAGTATCGCTTCGAGATCTTGCTTTTAATTCTGTTGGCTAATACCCAGAGAGGAATTGCTGGATCATATGGTAGTTCTATTTTTAACTTTTTGAGGAACTACCAGACTGTTTTCCACAGCAGCTGCACCATTTTACATTCCCATTAACGGTGCACGAATTTCCCAATTTCTCCACATCCTCACCGACATTTGTTCTCTGCTTTGTTTTTATAGTCGCCATCCTCATGGGTGGGAGGAGGATCTCGCTGCGGTTTTCTTTTGCGTTTCCCTCATTCTTAGTGATGTTGACCATCTTCATATGCCTGCTGGTCACTTGTATATATATCATATTTGGAGAAATGTCTATTTAAGTACTTTGCCCATTTTCAAATCAGATTTTTGTTGTTGGTGAGTTGTAGGAGTTCCTTTTAACGACCCCCTTCCTCTTTTTTTCCAACTGAAAAACAAACAAACAAACAAAAAAACCCCGAACAGGTCAAAGATGTGGATAACTTACTTGCTGGACTTTGGCCGGGGCAGGGAAAGGCGGCGGCGAGATGGAGCTACAGCCCCGTCCTCCCAGCCACACGTCTCAGCAAACACTGCGATCAAATGCACCCTCTGTGTTCACAGCCTCACGGGCCAAGTAGCTATTTGAAAACCAGCGACAAGCACTGGCTACAGAGAACTCTGAAGCGTGTAATATCCACTTTACTGACAGTCCCACTTTTTCCTTCTTGCCCCTGCAAAGGAGGGCAGAGTGAAAAGGCTGTTCATGGAAAAATAAACTTAAATGGATCAGTGCTGGGCAACCATTTGCACATCTGTTCTTAACAGGTTTCAGCTGAAACTACTGAAAATATACACAGATCTGTTTATGTGGAACCAGTTAAATATGATAAGATTACAACTTGGAGGGTAGCTCTGGACTTGGTGGGGGAAAACCACCCTCTCCCCGGCGTCCACAGATGCTCCTCGCGTCTTACCACAGATGTTGCTGAGGGACTCGGGTTTGCTGTGAGTGGAAAAGATCTTCATGATTTGAGATTAGTTACAAACAAACCCAAGGTGTCCCAGCAGCCTCTGTGCAGCACAGAACTCCCGCCTGGCCTCCGCTCTGGGCCGCGTCCTTTGTTATCAGAGGGGCGACCGCAGCTGGGAATCACTTGTCTCTGAGTAATGCTGTCTTCACTCCCCCGACAAGCCACTTCGGAGGAAGACAGTACGCAGGCTGCTTGCACACAGGGCCCGGTTGTCTGCTCTGTGGTTTCGAAGATGCCTGAGGGCGCAGTGTCCCCTGAGGACGCGCAGCAGAGGCAGCGACTGCCGTGGGCTGTTTCTGTGGCACCGTGCCCTGTTGGGAGCCTTTCTTACAGAGCACACAGCGCCCTGCGAGGCCACGCTGTCCTCCCACTGGAGAGAAGGGAAGACTGAGGCTCTCGGGTGCTTCGTCCAGGGCCACACGGACAGCAAGCAATGAGCTTCCCTAAAGGAACAAAGCTTTTCCTCGTGTCTGAATACCCCGTGGGGCAAGGCCACAGCTCAGGCCCCACCGCGTCCCCCGGAAAGGGAAGGAGCGGGGGGCAGGGGCACAGTTAATCAGCAGCTTTAGTTACTGATGCTGGGGGTGGGCCCAGACACGGTGGGCCCAGATCTTTTGGGTTTTGTAAAGAGAGCCAGGAATTGCTAGGTTTTAACAGGGTGGCTCAGGTATTAAAAACAAACAAAATAAAACAAAGCAAAAGAACGGACTGTGGGGCCTTTGGTGGGGCTGGAGGCGGGAGGAAGGGATTGCATTGGCTGTCTCTCCAGGTAGGGACTTAGGGGGTCTGACTATCAGGGTACTTGTCTCCCAGTGCAGAGGCCTCTGTTCCAGGCAACAGGCCCACCGCTCAGCACCCTGGTCCCCATCTCCCGTCTAACACCCCCCGCCCCCAGCACACTGTACGTGCATTCACTTGTAAGCATGTATCTAACAGTTTATCTTTACAAAGTGGCATCTGTCTACAAAACACCCCACAGGACATGAGGATAGCAGTCACATGGCCTCAGGAACAGCCCAGATTGTCATCTGACAACATCACCCCCACCCCCAAGGGGCTGGGCTGTGATCGGGAAGGTTCTCATTCCTCTGGACCCCACGCTGTGAAAATATACCCGTGTTTGTTCATTGAAAACAATTTTTTAATAAGCAGCCTGGTGGACAGTAATTGTGAGTGGCAACTTGATTACATGGGGATTTTTAGAACAAACAGCATATTAGATGACAGTGAATTTTAATTAAAAAATGTTAACCGTTCAATTGATGACAAGCATGGTGTGTCACTGGGGCTGTAAGAGAAATCAGGACGGCCCTGGCCGGTTGCTCAGTGGTTAGAGCACCAGCCTACAGACGGAAGGGTCTAGGGTTTGATTCGCAGTCAGGGGCACATACCTGGGTTTCAGGTTTGATCCTCAGCCCTGGCCAGTACACGTACAGGAGGCAACCAATGTGTCTCTCCCACATCGATGTTTCTCTCTCTTGCTCTCTTTCTCCTTCCACTCTCTCTAAAAATCACTAGAGGAGGCCCTCCGGGGGCCCACATCCCATCTTCTACAAAGGACCTACGTTATCTCAAAGGCCCCATTGTCCCAGGACACCTAGGCAGCCCTTGAGAGGGTCAGCTTTTCTGAGCAACACATGTGGGGCTGCCTTTGTGTGATTGGTTCAAGGTCATCTTTGTGGGCCTGATACTGGGAACACATGATTCTGAAGCAATCGGGTTTTTGGGCCGGCACCAAACATCAAACCCAGCCAAAGTTTCACTATTTAGAAGGGTTTTCTTCAAGATGACTCTATAATTGAATAGAAAAATACAATTTTGTTAGTGCATTGGCTCAAGAAAGGTCATCTAAAGCAGGCAAAGTGGTCTGCCTCCTTTCAGACAGGTCTCTGCCTGACACTCCGCGAGGCCGCTGTCCTGCCTCACTCACAGCCCCGTGTTCTGGCCACCGGGCCCCGTGCAAGAAGGAAGCCGCTGCCCTGAGTCTCGGGAGCCTGACTCTTCCCTGGGGCAGAGGAGCGGCCACAGGGCGCCGGTGGGCTGGGGCCTTGGGGATGGTGGGACCAGCCTGACGGTGGGGCACCAATGGTGCCTGTTTCCTCCCCGAGAGAACAGCTTGCGGGAGTGGGCTGCAGAGCTACCCGTGAGCCAGAGCAGTACAAGCTGCTCCCTAGAAAGAGACCACAATGCAGAGTCCAGGCTTCAAACCAGGGTCACAGAACAGCAAATGGCAAAGGCCTTGAGGTGGACCAGGCCAGTGCAGGTGGGTGGGCCACAGCTGTGACATAGGGGAGGGCTGGTTGTGCCCAGGACTGGCCAGTGCAGGTGAGTGAGCTACAGCTGTGACACCGGAGAGGTACTGCCTGTGCCCAGAACTGGGCCAGTGCAGGTGGGTGGGCCTCAGCTGTGACACAGGGGAGGTACTGGCTGTGCCCAGGATTGGGCCAGTGCAGGTGGGTGGGCTACAGCTGTGACCCAGGAGACGTACTGGCTGTGCCCAGGACTGGGCCAGTGCAGGTGGGTGGGCCCCAGCTGTGACACAGGGGAGGTACTGGCTGTGCCAGGGAGGAGGCAGAATTCGGTATTAAAAGCAAGAGGAAGCCACTGTTGGGTTCCCAGCAGGAGAGAGGCGTGGCTCAGTGAGCATTTTCAAAGGTTCCACTTGCTGCTGAGTAGAGTCTAGAGTGGGGAGGCTGGGCCGTGGGCCACGGGGGTGGGGGGCAATGGACGGGAGACTGGGCGGGGGTTGGAACCCATGGCACCTTTCCCAGGCAGAACCAACTGGGTGAGGAGGTGAGGACTCAGCCATTCCTGCTGCCAGTGTGAAGGTAGGAAGTGGCGCGTCTGCCTGTCCACGGCAGGTGCCACGGCCACGAGGGCAGGGCGGCCCTCCCTTTGCTCCTTGGTCCCCGGCACGGGGAACAGGCGTCTGCCTGCAGCAGAGCTCCTTCGGCCCGGCCGCCCGCCAGTGAAGTGGGAAGTAGGGCTGGGCGGGATGGCGGCTGGCGGGCGGGGGCCCATTGTTCTTTCTGAGAAATCACGAGCAGATCCCTAGCAACACGGTGACTCAACAGACTCAGGTTCCTAGCAAAGGCTGTTGGCGACGCAAAGGAAGTTCACAGGGTGCTGCTGATGTGGACCCGCTGAATCGGCTCCACTGTGGTCACATGACGCCTGGAGTGCAGCAGGTGAGCTGGCCCAGATCCTGTGCCCACGCCCTGCTGCGCCCATCCGGCCCCCCCAGCACTCACACCTCGAGAAGCAGAAGGAGAGTTCCCACTTCGGGGGGAACCGCGCTTCTGAGCTCGCTCCTGGACTGCCACACGAGCTGCACGATCCCATGACCCCACAAGTTTATCAACCAGAGGAGCCGGGATGAACCCTGTGGGGTCTTCCCAGGGCTGGAAGGGCTCCTGGAGGTGGGAAGGGAGGGGTGGGGTTCCCAGCTCAGGGCGCAGTTTGGAGAAGGGCACGGGACCGGCTTCCTCTGAGCCAGCACATGTTCCAGTCTAAATATAGCCCGGGGTGACCCAAGACCTCTTCCCCGGCGGGAGACCTGTGGTTCTGTCTTGTCCAGGATTTCAGTGATTTCTGAGGGCACCTGAGGCTCTTCATTCACAGCCCGGATCCCATGGGCCCTGGTCCTACGGGTGATGTCAACCCCTTGTGGGAGGCGGCTCTGCCCATGAGGGGTGCCCTCTGGCCCCCACCCCAGGAGATCCCGGCATGTGCTGCCAGGCTGCCCTCTCCAGCCAGCGAGTGCCTCAGGCCTCTGCCTCCCAGGAAGGTCCCTGCACCCAGGCTGGCATTGAGTGATGCTTCTCCCACCTCTGGCATCCACGCTTTTCACTGGACCGCGGACCCCAGCCCTCCGAACGCAGCTGCAGCGCAGAGGAGTCATGCTTCTGTCACAGGTCAGGGAGGTCCGAGGCGCAAGCCTCTTGGAAAGCTGGACCTGTGGGGGCCTCGGGCACCGAGGTAACTCTGGGCTTGGAGCCTTCGCTGCTTGTTTGCAAGTGAGGGGAGAGTTTTCTGTGTCTGAGGGGCCCTGCTCATTGCCGCACACACCCTCCAGGGCAGTGGTTGGCAAACTCACTAGCCAACAGAGCCAAATATCAACAGTACTTCTTCAAAATAGACTCGCCCAGGCCGAAAACCGACTTCTGCGCATGGGCCACAAAGTTTCAATTGCATTATACGCGTGCTCGCACGTGGTATTTTGTGGAAGAGCCACACTCAAGGGGCCAAAGAGCCGCATGTGGCTCGAGAGCTGCAGTTTGCCAACCACGGCTCCAGGGGAAGTTCACGGGTCCAGAGGCCTTGCTGCTAACTCCATGGCGCCTCGCAGACAGGGCCTCGCGCGGGGGACACACACACGGGAGACACATGGCGGTGCTTGTCTTCAAAGCGTTCATGACCGGAGATGAGGACAGTCTTGTTGTTATGTTCAGCGGACAGTGAGCAAACCAGGCAAGGAAAACAAAAGGAAGACCAGGAGAAAACACCTATGGACACCCCTACACCCCTCCTCCCCCCAGCCTGCGCAGTTCCTCCACTGACCGAACAACGCTGTGCACACAGACCCCAGATCCGGGCATGGTGAAATCTGGCACAGACACGGCAGCAAAGAAAGAAAACATATCACATTTCGGAGAGTCCTGTCAGGCCTGGGCCTGAGCCCCGAGCACAACGCTAT